CAGGTTCTTGAACTACCGGGTGGGGCCCGAGCAGCGCTGCGCACGCACGCCAGGTTACAACCCTGCCTCGCCTTCGGAAGTACGTGGGCAAAATCACCGCTGAGGCCACAACAATTGAAAGCACCAACCAATAAAAGCAGCGGCTTGAGGCCTCGCCGATGCCCACGGACCAATCAGGGGCGAGCGCTCGCCATCCAGCGCCCTCAGCTTTAAATTTCAATTAAAGTCGGTACCCTTGTTTCTGCCTTTTTTTTTTTTTTTTTTTCTCCCGTTAGTCAGTTCTGGTCTTCACTTCTTTCCCTGAGGCTCTGACTTGCAGACGTGGGGAATGTGAAAAGACTGCACGGCCTGCTCCGTGCACGGTCACGATAGCTCCTCCCCTCCAGGCTTCTAACTTGGCCGCAGTCAGCTGGACTAACTGGAAAATAGCAACACTCCCAGAGCAACACTTCGTGTAGCGTCAGTTCCGGTCTCACCCACCTGCTAATCCCTAAGGAGCAGAGAGGCGGGCGCAGTTTCACCCCGATGACAGGCAGATTTTTGTGCTGATTGGTTTCAAGACTGCATCACTGACACTGAACGGACCAACCGTGGGACAGACACACACCGTGGGGGTTTGGAAAGCAAACACGCCCTTTCTGGCACCAACACACTTTTGCCCTCGCGTTGACCTCCCCATCCCGTCCCTAAAGCTAGTGCGCAAGCACTTCACAGCCTTCCGTTCCCGCTGAAGCAGTTTTTCCTGGGTCTTTGGTAGCATAGTGGATTGTGAGTTGGGCTGCTAACCGCAGCTGCTCTGCAGGAGAAAGATGAAGTTTCTGCTCCCGTAAAGATATATAGCCTCGAAACCCTATACAAAATCGCTGTGAGTCGGAACCGACTCTACGGCACATAACCACCAGCAGTAGCAGCGTTAGCGTTAGCGGAAAGAAAGATCGGCTGTTGGAACCCACCAGCTGCTCAGTGGGAGAATGCTGTGGTTGTATGCTTCCATAAAGATTTGGTTGGTTGGTTGGTTGGTTGGTTGGATATGTGCCGTGAAGTCAGTTCCCACTCAGCTGTAGGATTTCCGAGGCTGTAAATCTTTATGGAAGCAGAAAGCCTCATCTTTCCCCCGCGGACCAGCTGGTAGTTTTGAACTGCTGATCTTGAGATTAGCAGCCCAACTCGTAACCACTACACTACCAGAGCGATTACAACCTTGAAAACTTTATATTGTTATTGTTAAGGGCTGACTCATAGTGACCCAGTATAGGGTTTCTGAGGAGCAACTGGTGAGTTTGAACTGCTGACCTTGTGGTTCAAACCGACCTTGCAGTCCTGCCCTTATGCTACAGCACCGCACCGAAAACTCTATTCTGTCCTATGGGATCACTGTGAGACCAAATCGATTTGATGGCACACAAACGAATATTTACAAAACAGCTTTGTCACCAGCCAGCGTCTTGAAATGGAGTTGGTCAAATTTCTGCTATTCAGTGATTGGAGAGCTGCAAGCTAATCCAATCTCTGTTCTTCTTTCTGAATAATTCTTGTCATTTAATAACTCCTCTTTCTCAATTTCTATGTCACTGTAAAATGGCAGTAATAACTCTAATTTTCAAAATGAGTATTTGAGTCAGTGCTTGTTAAAGATGTGGTACTTTGCCTGACACATAGCAAGTTAGTCTGTTGGTGCAGTGGAAGGATCTAGGCTTTGGAGTCAGCTCCAGGACCGAATGGAACATTACCAGCTGTACGCCCCTCAGCAAGTCTCTTTTGTTTACCCATGTGTAAAATGGGAATAACAATGCCTACCTCAATGAGCTCAAACAATGGGTTTAAACTTAACAATTGAGGATGGCGACTGGGCAGTGAGTGTTTTTTAGGTTGTTATGTTTTGCATGGCTAGGGCTGCTATGAGGCAGAACCCACTCCAAGGACCTAACAGGCTACCTCAAGGGCTCAGATGAGCACGTGAACCAAAAAGGTGTTGTGAGAGTAGAAGGTTTGCTGTCAATTTTAGGAGCCCAGTCATACAACAGGTTGAGAGACCATCCTAAAGCTCTCTGCTCGCCACCTAACCATCTCCTATCAGTTCTTCCCCTGGAGAGTATCAGTAATAGTGGTGCTGTGGGCTAATGTGTCAGACTGCAAAGTCATTTGAACTGGAAGGTCGGTGGTTCAAGCTCACCAGCTGCTCCTTGGAAACCCTATACAGGGTTGCTATGGGTTGGAATCGACTCAACGGCACTTAACAACAACAAGAAGTCATGTTTTCCTGCTCTTGAGACTAACTGGGAGGAGGGGATTCGTGCTTATTGGGTCTATGTGTTTAAGAAACTGTGCCAAGGGCCTATGCACATTATCAGATTGAATATTCTCAAGACCTCATTCCAGGCCCATGTATCCCACTCCCTACTCGATATTTGTCTGGCACTACACATCTAAAACTGAACTCATAATGACCATGGCTAACTTATGTCACTGGCACTGTGTACCAACAACGTTAATGTTCCCTTTGACAGTTGAATGGTCTATCCAGCCATTGCCCAAACCAAAAACTTGGGTGTCAGCTTTGATTATTCCCTCTTTCTCAGCAACTGCATGCCTGTCTATCCCAAGTCCTGCCAATTCTACCTCCTAAATCCAACTCTACTGCCACTACCCTGCTCCATGCCACTATCACCCACCAACCTGACTACCTCGCTGCTCCTTCTACCTCCAAGACTGTTTCTCTACAGTCCACTCTACACAGTCAGAATGGTCCTTCTGAGACAAGCCTCATCATGATACTTTCCCACTTAACAAGCCTTCCGTAGTCCCCATTATCCTTAAGATGAAACCCAAAATCCACATCATAGTGCCAAAGGTCTTGTGTGATCTGGTCTACCTCTCTATCCTTGTTCTCCTCACAGCCTCACTCTCTTCTCTCCAGTCATACTGAATTACTTACTTTCAGCTCCCCCAAACACCATCAGTGTGCTCCCTAACCTTCAGGTCATTCATTACACATGCTGTTCCCTCTGCCTAAAATATTTTCAACCCTCTGTCTTTAGCCTGGCTAACACCAATGCATTCTTTATGTGTCAGACAGCTTAGGTCCACCTGCTCTCTACATACTCCTGCAATCCACTGATCTGTTCTACAACACTATATTGTTGTTGTTGTTGTTGTTGTTGTTACGTACTTTCAAGTTGGTTTAGATTCACAGTGACCCTATTACAACAAATGGAAATACTTCCCGGTTCTGCACCATCCACTATATTATAATTGCTTAATTGTCTGTCATCCATGCTCAACCTTTAAGTTTGTATTTGTAGGACTAGCACATGATATACACTTAAATATTTGATGAATAAATGAATGTTTATCTCTATTTTACAGATTAGAAAACTGAGGCATGAAGAGGTAAATTATTATCTCACACAAGGATTGGAGCCCAGGTTGACCGGAATCCACAGGTTGCTCCAAAGAGTTCAGCTATACACTAACTTAATGCAGCAAGTAGCTCAAGAGAGAAGGAAGGGGGTTTTCAAAAGGAAGAGAATTTCACCAAACTGAGAGATGTTTTTCATTAGGGTGAGATTCAGGGCTGTTTGCTGTCAGGAAACCTGAGTTTAACTCTCTTCTAATAAACTATGTGCTGCTCTGGGTCTGCTTCCCCATTTGTGAATGAGGGAGCTGGGTCAGATGATGGCCAAGGGGACATGTATCCAGACCTCCTAGCCTGCATCACTGGTTATAGATTCAATTTTTGAAACCACCTTCTTTCATTTCTCCTAGATCCAAATTTTCTAGAACACGTCACCAACTCTCTACTACCACCCCAATACCTTTACCCACACAGATCCTTCAACTAGTGGAAAGGAATTGAAATCAAAGTGTTTTCAAACCCCCAGCCAACCCAGTCTCCAAGCCCGCAAAACCAGAAGGTGCTCAGTCCTCATCTCTCCTCTCAGGTTTTATTGACTGATGGAAACTACATTTTCGTCAGCCACCAGCTCCACAGGGACAGTGCTGGGGACAGGGAACCTGAGATGATGCCAGATTTCAGCCTGAGGGCTCTAGAAGGTGACCCAAGAAGGAGAAGAGAAAAGAATAAGTGAGAAGGAGTTGAGGGGAAGGAGTAGGAGTTGAAGAAGTTCCTCCTGCCTCCTACAACTCCCAGAGTTCAGGAACAACCTAGGCCTCAGCCCTTGATGGTTCTGGACATTTGCCAAGAACTTGGAATCGGTCCATAATCTTCAAGCACACAACAGCTCTTGCTGACTGCCAGGCTCTTATCTCAGCCAGTCCAGTCTCCAGCCCAACCCAGGAAGGAAGCAAACCAGAGGGGAGGAGAGGAGAGAAGGATGATAAGTTAGAGGTGGCCCTTCTGATTAGGGCAGATGTAGATGCTGCAGCAAACTGGGCAGAGGCTTTGCATAATGTCATGGCAGCAGCTGCTATTGCTAGAATATGCTGGAGGCCCGGCAGAGAATGGGATTGCGGAGACCCATTTCTAGCAACTAGGGAAAGGACTAGTGGTGTTTGTGCTATCTGTCTATGTTGGGAGGAGCAGCTTGACCCCTCAGACAAGGCCTAGGGGTGGCAGGTCACTGCTGAGGCCACAGCCCATGGAAGCTTCAGATTCTGGGAGTTGTTGGACCTGAGATCAGAAGTGAGGGTTCTCTTCTCTGAAGTCCCAAACCTCTACAGCCTAGCCAGACAGAAGAAACCTTAGCTCTGCTGCTCAGGCTAGAGCTCACCTATCAGATGGGAGCTTCACCTACCTCTGAGGGCCCAAGAGAAGCAGCATGCAGGAAGCCAGCTAGGAAAATCATCTTGGGTGGGAGAAGTTTCCCATTCCTTGGCTACTTCCCTACCAGGTGGGCCATTCCATGAAACTCTACTGCATAGTACTTGGTTGGGGGACAGGTGGGGTCCCCAGGCCTGTCCCTTTCAGCATTCCCAAAATATGGCTTTGGAAAGGAGTCCCCAGTAATTGAGAGGGCCCTCTGGGAGGGCAGGCCCTCCCCTCACAAAGAAGAGATCTTGACAGTCTCGGGAAGGAAGCAAGGGGTAGCCAGGCTGGAGTTCCTGAGGGTGCTGCTGTCCCTGCCGCTGCTACCATCAGGGGAGGAAAGTTGACTCTCATCTGGGGTGTTGGCAGGAGGAGTAGGGATACTGATAATGGCTGCCACGAAGTCCTGGCTGTCGCATTTCAAGTCAAGGCTGTCATGGGGCTTGGCATTGAGGCTTGAGCGGCTGTGGACAAGGATGGAGAAGATGGAAGGCTCTTAAAATGTCATTTTCTCTGAATGCCTGCTGCACCAATCATGGGATCTAAGTGCTTGCCCTGCATCCTCGATTATGGTGATGGAGAATGTGGGCTCTGGAGTCATGATGTTCCAGGCATTGCTCTGAGCACTTTGTATTATTTACTAATACAACAACAACCCATAATATAGATGAAAGAAAAGAGATTGGAAGTGACTGAAGTACAGACATACTCCTGCCTTCCTACCTTTGCCCAAGCTGTTTCCTCTGCTTCTAAAGCTCTTCCTCTAGATCAGGGGTGGGGAACATCCAGCCCGCAGGCCATATAAGGCCCGCAAAATCATTTGGACATATAAGGCTCTGCCAAAGCAACTGCGGTTCCTGCCATCACGCTGTTGTTGTTAAGTGCCATTGAGTCAGTTCTGATGCATAGCAATCTCTGTATATAGTTTCCAAGGAGCAACTGGTGAGTTTGAACTGCCAACCTTGCAGTTCAAACCGACCTTGTTGTGGCTGAGTGCTTATCCTACAGTGCCATACCAGAGCCTACATGTGACTTGCCATCACATTGTTGTGCCCTTGAGTCGGTTCCAACCCATAGCGACCCTGTATAGGGTTTCTGAGGAATGGCTGATGAGCTTGAACCAGTGACCTTGCAGTTCAAACTAACTTTGCAGTCCAGCACATTAACCCACAGCGCCACACCAAGACTCCTAGCAGGCTAATTTTTAAGTTGATAATTTTACGTGGCCCGTGAATGATGCCATAAATTTTGGCAGAAAAAAGGTTCCCCACCCCTGCTCTAGATATGTACAAGACTCTCTCCCTCTCCTCCTTAAGGTCTCAACTCTGACGTCACTTCAGTAAAGCTTTCCCTGGCCACACTTTTCAAATAGCATCATCCCCTGTTCTACACTCTCTAACCTGTATCCCTGCTTTTCTTTTCTTATTGGTACTTACAAATTATTAACATATTGCATAATCTGTTTCCATTTGAATATAAGTTCCAGAATGACAGAGGTTTCTGTCTCGTTCAATGCTATATCCCAAGTACCTAAAACTATGCTTGGCATACAATAGGTGCTCAATAAGTGTTTGTTGAAAGAACAAATGAAGAATAAGAAGTTTAAGACAAGGGAAGCCTAAGCTCCTAGTATGGAGGCGCTTCATTTCGCAATGCCACGGATCCAAGCCCAGGTGTGGCCAGTAGGTGGTCCCCAGGTGTGGCCAGAAGGGTGCTTACCTCTGAGGGGCAGGGCTCCTCTGCAGCCCAGCCAATGTGTCTAGCTCCTGCATGCTGCCACGACTAACTGAGGCAGTGGAGTTGGCAAGACGTATGGCGCGGCGCTTGGCCCTGCGGGGGCAGCAAGAGGATAGCAGACTGCTGGTCCCCACTGGCTGGGAGGACATGGAAGTGCTGCGGCTGGTATGGCCACCCAGTGATACAGCTCCCAGGGTCTCACTGAAGGTCAGTTCATCTGTGAACTCATGGCACTGTATGGGCAGAAGGCAGACAAAGTCATAGGGTACACCCCCCCCCGCCCCCAAAGCCTTTGCTCAGGCCGTTCCCTGCTCTCTGGAAGTGTCTCTCTTCCCTTCCGTTGCTCATTCTTCAAGGCTCAGCTCTATTGTGGCTTCTTCCAGGAAGCCCTATGTAATTTCTACAATTAGTAGTGAGCCTTCCATCCCAGGTAGCCTAGTGGACTACAAGCTGGATGGTTAACCACAGGGTCAGCAGTTTAAATCCACCAGGTGGTCAGTGGGAGAAAAATGAGGCTTTCTGCTCCCATAAAGATTTATAGCTTCCAAAACCCTATATAGGGTCACTACGAGTCAGAACTGACTCGATGGCACACAGCCACCACTACCCGCTCCCATATCGGGAAGGGAGTTGGCTTATCAGTAGAGGGAACCCCTTCACTGTGCCATTAGGCCTTACCGTTGTCTTTTCTAGACAATGTAGCAAGTGGTGATGCTGCTGCTCGAAAGCAGAACGATTTCTGACGCACAGCGCCTGTTCCTCCCCGCTGCCGCTGTCCTGGAGTGGGTGGAGCAGAAAGAGAGAGAAAGTCAGCACCTTCCTCCCACATGTCACAGTTCACCCTCTCCCTAATCTGGGCTGGCCCCTACCCACCTCAAGTCCCCCATTCTGTTTGTACTGCAGGAAGGCATTGGTGGTACCACTCTTTGCTAACCGGATTCTCGCCAAGCGCACTTTCTACAGAGAAAAGAGGAGATAGAGGTCAGGTGGGTAAATTCAAGAGTGGATTGGCATCATTGCAATGAAACGATGAGTGTAAAACCAGATTCTCCCATGTAAACTATCACTCAATTCATAATAAAAACTCAAAAAACAAAAAGTGGATTGGCTTGGAATGGAGGGAATAGTAGACGCTCAGATGGAAGGTGTGGTTACCTGCTGTGCTCGGCGCTTGTCAGCACGTTGGTTCTGATGATAGATGCGGCTAAAGTTGGACACAATAACTGGCACAGGCAGGGCAATGACCAAGACGCCACTGAGTGAGCAGATGGATCCAAAAATCTTGCCAGCAATGGTGCTGGGCACCATATCGCCATAACTGGGGCAGGAGGAGGTAGGTCACAGTAAGGAAAAGTGCCCACCCACCTCTCAGTCCCCCACACCACCCTATCCATCCTGACTCACCCTGCAAAGCTGGTCAGTCATTCAAATTCTGACCATCAGTTTGTTCTCCAAAATATGGGGAATGATCCTTCTGGCCACTGGTGGTGGCGGTGGTTGTATGCTGTGGCATCAGTTCCTACTCATAGCTATCCTGTATAGGGTTTTCGAGACTGTAAATCTTTACGGGAGCAGAAAGTCTCAGCTTTCTCCTGAGGAACAGCTGGTAGTTTTGAACTGCCAACCTTGAGGTTAGCAGCCTGGCTCGTAACCACTACGCCATTAAAGGGGGTTAAAGGAGACATGGGCCTGGCCCTCAGCACCTACCATCTACTGCCCCATCCAAACTGAGCACTGGCTATCTGAGTCAGCTAGAAATCTATTCATACCAAGCATAGGGTAAATTAGGAAGTCACAGGCAGTAAATATAGCCTCCTGGGGAGAGATCATCACCACCACAAGACAGTTGAGGGGGCTCCAAGTTTTGGGAGGAGTGCTCTGTTAGTTTTGCCTCCCTCCGTCTTACCTTCTCTAGCTATGACCCCATCTTATTTCCCCAGGGGGAGACTTGAAACTGTCCTCATGTGAAAAAATAGGGGGAAGTCTTGAAACTCCCTCCCTTTTTCTACATGTCCCCATGAAGACAGAACACAGCCAACCTTGCCAATTAGTTCCATAGGTGATAAAACTAAGGCACAGGAAAGTTCTATAGCTAACTTGCCCAAGATCGCATATCCTTTTGTTCTGACCACAGGACCAGCCCAAATAACCCTGTAGGAACACAGGCTCTGTAGTCCCCAGTCTCTAGGCCTTTGCTCAAGCTGTGCGCTCCCACTGGAATGACCCTTATTTATTTTAACTCATTTTGAGCATTCGGAATGCTACTAGAAAATCTCTCCAACTTAGCTTTGTGATTTTGTATCTCAGAATATCCTTAACTATGAGACAGGCAGTCCAGTTTGACAGAGAGGTTTTGAGGAATGAATAGGGGATTAGGAGTCAAAATACTCAGTTCCAATTCACTGTCAGGGCTCCATGTTGTTTTGTCCATCCTGAACCTACAACCAGAATTCATTTCTACTCCTTAGAAACCCCAAATTGATTTTTTTTGTATCTGGTAGTGTAGCGGTTACGAATCAGGCTGCTAATCTTACGGTCAGCAGTTCGAAACTACCAGCTGTTCCGCGGCAGAAAGATGAGGCTTTCTGCTCCCATAAAGATTTACAGCCTTGGAAATCTTGTACAGGGTCGCTATGAGTTGGAACCGACTCCACGGCATATAACAACAACAAATATTAAGGCACTGGGAGTCCTGGTGTGGTGCTGTAGGATAAGCACTGGACCACAAGGTCGGTTTGAACTGCAAGGTCGACAGTTCAAACTCACCAGCCACTCCTTGGAAACCCTATACAGGATCCCTGTGAGTCAGAACTGACTCAAGGACACTTAGTAACAGCAAATAAGACATTGAGTAAAGGCATTTTGTTCAATAAATACTGAGTACCAATTGTAGCATAGTGGTTACAAGTTGGGCTGCCAACCTCAAGGTCAGCAATTTGAAACCACCAGCGGTTCTGCAGGAGGAAGCTGAGGCATTCTGCTCCTGTAAAGATTTACAGCCTCGGAAATCCTGTGCAGGGTCACTATGAGTCGGAACCGACTCCATGGTACTTACCACCACCACCACCACCAACCAACTGTTTACCTAATCCCAGTGATGGAAACTCAGAGGATTAAGCACAACAGTATCTGCCCTAGACAATGTCTTTAAGAACTCCATGAATTTGTTGATTCCATTTGATACTTTTATACCAACTCTATTTCATGGATTGAGAGTAAAATAAATAGATAAAAAAGTTATGCTGAAAATATCCTGTTCTGGGGACTATCACAAAGCCACAAGGGTAATGTCTACACAGCAGACAATACTAGAAGTTTGAAAGATATGAGCACTCAAGATAAAAAAGAGGACTTTCATAACCATAGTGCCATTGAATCCCCTATCATTTTACACAGAGCAAAACTTGAGGTCCTGAGCAGGGGGAAAAAATATCAGCAGAAATGACAATTCTTGAACACATGCTTTCTGCCCTAGAAAATCTAGGCATTATCAGAGCTAGGAGGGATTTGGAGATTAAGTCAATGCCCTCATGTTTTACAATTGAGCAAACTGAAGCTCAAAAAGTGAGTTCATCTAGCCTTTAAAATTTTACAGAATGGGCAGATTCCTATACAGAGTCGCACTCACCCAAGCGTGGTCATGGTGACAATGGTATACCAGAAGGCAGCAGGGATGCTGGTAAAGTTGGTCTTGCTTGTGCCTTTCTCAGCATAGAACATGACCGTGGCAAAGATGATGATGGCCATGGTGAGGGAAAAGAGGAGAAAGCCAAGCTCAGAGGCACAGCTCTTGAGTGTGTAGCCCAGAATTCGCAGGCCCTGTGAGTGTCGGGAGAACTTAAAGATGCGGAACACCCGGAACACTCTCAGAGTGACAAAGGCACCGGAGACATCTTCATTCTTAGGCATGAAAAGTCCGATGTAGTAGGGCAAGATGGCCACCACGTCGATGAGGCTCATGACACTTCGCAAGAATCGACAACGACTCGGGGCGGCAAATAGCCGCAAGAGGTATTCGCCTGTGAATATGAGCACACAAGCTGTGTCCATGCAGAAAAAGGCCAGTGGGAAACGATCGCCACAGGGTTGCTCCCTCGGGGGTCGCCGTGCAGTGCTCCTGCATGGGATGGTCTCCACCACATTGGCAATGACTGATACAGCAATGAAAAAGCCAGTCACGTAGTAGAAAACTAGAGCTGCGGTGCTCGTGTGAGGATTCTCAAAGGCCCGCCACAGCCGCTGTCGCAGGGAGCTGCCCGCTGGCAGAGCTGGGCCATCCCCAGCCTGCTCGGCCTCTTCATCCTCCGCCAGGCGCTCAGCATTCTCCTTCTTACGGTCCCGATACTCTTCAAGACAACAGTCACCAACAAGCTCAGGGACCAAGCCATAGAAGGCCAGCTCTTCATCAAAGGCCTGTATGCACTCCTGTCTTGGGCAGTGTAGTCGCCCAGTGCGGTAGAAATTCAGCACGTGCCGGAACATATCCGGGTCTCGATCGAAGAAGTACTCGCCTGAGTCGGCATCGTAGAAGAACTCCTTCTCCGAACTGCCCAGCAGAGTGTCTGGGTAGCGGTCCAGTGTGTTCTTCCAGGTCTCAAAGCGCCGCCCGCTCACGTTCACCACCAAAACCTCATCCCCTCGAGAGGCCTTCACCCCGGGCGCTGGGGGCAGGGGCTGCTGGGCTAGAGGTAGCCAGCCCACAGCTGCCGCTCGGGCAAAAGGCAGCCACGTGGCCACGCCTGCCGCCATCCTGCAGCTCCCCAGGCCCACGGAGGCTTGGGGGTGAAGGTGTGCGTGGCCTTTAGGAGAATGTGCCTGTCTCCAGGATGGTGGTGGTGGTGGTGGGGAGGTTTGGAGAGGCCCTGGGCCACCAGTACAGGGAAACTGAGGGTGTCTAGAAAGGCCAAGAGGAACTAGGAAGAGGAACTAGAGAGATGGACAGGGACTTGGGAGACATTTATGAGGACCCTGCAAGAATGTCTTCAGGGACATTCATGGGACTAGAGTCATGGCAAGGAGCAGAAAAGAGGCATCTCAGAGGGCTGAGAAGGGCCTGAGGAAGTGTCTAGAGAGACTAAAGGACTCAAAAGGAGTTACCATGTGCCATGTCTGGGGCTGTCTAGATGGTTCAAGAAAAGTCAAAAGTCCAAGAGGAAGAAAAAAAGGGGCCGAAACCCCTAGTGGGATTGAAGAAGGCATAGACCTGGGACCAGAGGTGTTTGAAAGAGCCTGAGAATGCCTGGGGGTGGGGGTGGGAAGGGTTCTAAAGGGGTCAAGAAAGGCGCGGCTGGTTGTCCATACCCTTGAGAATTCTGTAGACCAAGACAAGGGGATTGGAGCCCCCTGATAGATCTGAAAAGGGACTGGTATATCTAGAGGGGTGGCTAAAGAGCCAGGAGATTGTAAAGAGGCTGAGAGGTATCTTGGGAATAATTAGAGCTGCCAAGAATAGCTTATGGAGAGTAGTGGTGGTGGTGAGGAATACCTATACTCCACAGGAGCTCTGGGAAAGGAGAAGCTGGGACCCCTTAGTGGGGCTGGAAAGGAGACTGGAGGTATCTGAATGGATAGATATGAGGCTGGGTTTTTAACGAGTCTGGAAGGTATGGGGGGGGGGGCGTCTCTAGAGGGACTGAGAAAGCCCCATCCACACTCAAGCGTTCTTGGGGAAAGAAAGAGGGTACTGGAGAACCCTGAGAGGCTGGGACTCAGTTGGAAGGAAGTTGGACACAGCCCCAGAGCACCAAGGGGATTTAAAAAGACTAAGAGGAAAGAGGGGGGTCCTCTTCCAAAGAGGGTTGGGAAGCAGGGTGGGATGTTTAAAGGGAGTTGGGTGTGTCTCCAGGGAGGGGGCTTGCTGGGTAGGAGGCTGGGGGGGGGGTTCAGGATAAGGGTTGGTCCTACCCGCTGGGGGCAGGTCTGGGGAAACCACACCCCGAGGGGCTGGCAGTGTGTGTTGGGCAGCAGCAGTAGCAGCAGCGGCAGCAGGAGGGGGAGGCAGAAAAGCAACCACAGCCAGGCCTAGGAGCGAAGGCGGTACAGACAAGGGTAGGGGACTGGGTCCCTGAAAGGACTAGGTGTAGTGGGACCTCTAGAGACTAACCCAGGATGGGCTAGGACGTGGGGGCTGGACCAGGGAAGGACAAGGACAGTGCTATTGGTAGCCCCCTCCCCCTCTCCATGGGACCGTCCTCACCTGTGTCCCCGCTGCAGCAGCGGCAACAGCGGTGGGGCTGGGGTACCAAGTACTAGAGCTCCTGGCCCCCTCTGCAGAGCTGTCAGAGTTCTCCTTCTCCTCTGGCTCTTTCTCCCTGCCCCTCTGAGCTTGCCGGGAGATGGAGAGGCAGGGGAGGGGCTTTGTGGCTCTCAGAGCCCCCTCCCCTAGGACAGTCTCAGAGGGACCCTGGGGAGACTCCGCCTCCTACAAAGCTGGTTGGGCCTCAGTCGCGTCATCTGGAAAATGGGGGTGGCAAGGAGTTTTGCCAGTTTTCCCCACCTCCTTCCTGGACTCCCCCCTCTTCCTGCCCAACTCCTACCCCCTCAGCCCCAAGGGGCCCCCACCTCCACCCGCCTGAATCAGCAGCACTTAGCAGATCCAATCGATGGGAAGGCGGCTGTTAATGGCCCCAGAGAGGAGTGCCACGGGGAATGATGCAGCTCTGTGTCCCCTCCCTGCCCCCAAAGGCAAGGAGAAAGGCTGGAATCGCGAGGTTGGGGGGGGGGAGTTGGTGAGGGGCGTTTCTCTAGGTAGCCAGGTCTCTGGCTACCTGAAGAGGGGTGTAAGTTAGAACCCCAGATCTAACAAGACTTAAGCTGTAGGACTGGAACCCGAGACTTCCACTGTCTTCAGATGTGAAGTGGGAGGTGTGGGGTGGTGGTGAGGGGAGCACAGATGGGGAAATCCAGGTCCCACCTGTATACCAGGTGGTCTCAGCCCTATACCAGGTAGTCCCAGGCAGGACCCACTCCTAGGGACAGTCTTCCTAATTTGTCCACAACCAGCAGCCTCAAATCCCACCTCCATTCCCTAGAGGATTCTGCTTCTGGCTATCAGGAGCATTGACTATGGGGTGCCTTGGGCAGGCCTGGGTGGGTTCAAACCCCAACTTTGCCAACTCGCTGTATCCTTGAGCAAGTTGCTTGCATTATTTATTCAGTTGTCAGATGAAGAGTTATGCCAGCTTTATAGTGTCACTGGGAGAATTAAATGAAATAATATGAAAGGAGATGGCACAGGGCATGGCACACAGAAAGTACCTAATCTTCAAGTAATTAAAAGTGTGTGGCAAGATCACTTTTAGCCATTGAATTGATTTACCCACCAGTGTAATCTGTTTGCTCACTCACCATACTTGATTTGTTCTTTTCTTCATCCCTCCACCCACCCCAAAAGAAAAAACAGATCTGTGCTGGAAGAAGTGCAGCCAGAGTGCTCCTTGGAGGCCAGGATGGCCAAACTTCATCTCTCATACTTCAGACATATTGTCAGGAAGGACCAGTCACTGGAGAAGGATATCATGTTTGGTAAGGTGGAGGGTCAGAGAAAAAGAGGTAGACCTCCAGCAAGATGGATTGACAGTATGGAGCATCAATGGTCTCAAGTGTGCCAACAGTTGTGAGGTTGACTCATGACTGGAGTGTTTCGTTCTGTTGTGCATAGGGTCGCTATGAGTCGGTACCGCCTTGATGGCACCTAACAACCATCACCACCCACCCACCTACCTATTACTCTACCCATCCCTCCACCTGCACATGTTATTTAACCATAAATCCACCCACCCCACTCAATCATCCATCTGTATATTCACTCCATCCACCTAGCTCTTCACCAACTATGCATACATCCTCCATTCACCTACTCAACCCATACACCTATCCACCCATCTATCTATCCATTTATGTATCAATATCTCCACTCATTTACTTACCCATTTTGCCCTTTCCATTCATTAACTCATCCATCCATCCTTTTATTTATTCATGCGCACCTATACATCCATATGTCCATTTAAACACCTACCTGTCCATTCTTTACCTATCCTACTGGTCCATCTATCCCCAATTATCCATCCAACTATCTATCCATCCACCTGTCCATTTAGTCCCCATCTATTCATCATCAAGCCATGCAACCTTCCATCCAACCACTTATCCATCCTCTCATCTGTCCATTTATCCACACCTGCACTCCTGATGTGGTGCCGTAGGATAAGCACTGTAACTCAAGGTCGGTTTGACCTGCAAGGTTGGTGGTTCAAAGTCATCAGTTGCTCCTTGGAGACCCTATAGAGGGCCGCTATGAGTTGGAACCAACTCGATGGCACTTAACAACACTCCCATACACTTTCACCCATGTATCAGCAGATATTTTTGCTCAATTCGTTTGAGAAGTTGGTCAGTAGTAACTAGAATCAGGCTGGGTGAAAGCAAGGGAAGGAGAATGCATTTGTAGCCAGAGACCACCCCGCGAATTCCAGTCGAATGATCTTCCACACTGCCCCACCCCCCAGCATATTCCACCTTGTGTTTGAAAGAAGGAGACCAGAGAATTAGTGGGTAGGCCAGTCTGGCCAGATGGTATTTTGGCTGCACAGCCTTTACACACACACTGCTAAAACGCTGAACATGGACCATACCCCAACCCAACACCCCCAATTTCAAATGCAGAGTAGCCAGGCTCCCACACATAAATTAAAAAAGAAAAGGAAGAAAGAATGAAAGAAAATTGGTCTGTGGGAGGGAGAGCTCATGCAAAGATGGAAGGCAGAGGCCCCTGGGAGCCAGGGCCAAGAAGAAATCTCTGTCTCTGCCCTAAGACAGGGTCATTAACACCAGCCATGATGCCTCCAACCCCTTTAATGTCCAGTTTCCAACATATTCATTTTAGGCTCAGATCTCAATTTTCCCACCACAGCTCAAGGGAATGGAGTCTTGGGGAGTGGGGAGGAGGGAGGGAGTACAGCCTGTAGGTCTTTAGCTGGCCTTTCCAGGCTCTAGATCTGGATCAGGGGACCCCACGTACTCCTTGCTGAGCCGAACGATTTCCTGTGACAGGACCTCCATGTCCTAAGAAACAAATGAATCATCAGGGAGGGACCAGAGAAGGGGTAGGGGTAACTCTCTTACCAAACCTGGGGTGTCATCTGTGATTTCCCTCTCACCTCATTAATCGATGCCTAACTATGTCTGGCCTGGGATGGGAAGGTACTTAGAGAAGCTCATAAAGCCTTCAGTAGTGGGTTCAGAAAAGGTATGTCTGGGAAGTTTTTGCTTAGGGTGCACTGAGTTTATGTTAACGGTAGAATCGATTTAGAAGAGGATAGAAAGAATGATTACAGAGCTTGAAGAATGTGATCAAAGTCACTGAATTGTATGAGATATGTTTTGTTGTGTGTATTTTCATCACGATAAAATAACCTAAAATAACCTAAAAAAGAAAAAAAGAAGACATATATTTGGAAGACATATATCTGGCACTATGGATATGAGACTGGATCCTTTCTTGAGGTATGGTACTGCTGGAGGATACAACCCCCATCCTCACCACCTTCTCTTCTACTAAATGGTGAGTTTGCTCCTCAAAGGCAGGGACTGGTTCTGATTTCTTTTGGATTCCCCCAGAGAATGAGGAAACATCTGGGTGACAGGATAGACAAGTAGATGTTCAGGAAGGAGTATGCATAGGGGGACTCATGATAGCCAAATGAGGAGGATAGATGGAGGACAAAAAGTAGGCAGGCCAGTCCCTGGGTGGGTTGGTAAAATGGCAAGGGGATGACTAGAGAAGAGAGAGGGAGAGAGAGAGGTACATCAGGATAAGTGTGGATTAGATAGGTAGGTAGAAAGATTGGTAAACAGGTGGCAGAAAGATGGATGAATGTGAGTATGAAAGGAAGACTAAACTGATGAGGAAGCGGCAAGACGAGAGGATGCAGGAGAGGTCAGTGAAATGGGAGGAGGATGGGAGGGAGGAGAGGTGGGTGGGTGGATGAATGGGAATACTAGCAGATGAACCAGTGACTGTGTGGGTGCACAGGCAGATGGCTGAATGGACAGATGGGTAGGTTGGTAGGCCACACTTGCCTTGTGCAAGTGCATGTTCTTGGTGAGCTGCTCCTCCAGCATGTTCTGCAGCTTCTTATTCATCTCCCGAAGGTTCTCGTCACCCGGCTTCACTAGGTCTCTTAGGACACTGCCCAGTCCACTGCGGTCTGTGTGGCCTGCTGCCACAGACACATCTGCAAGAGCCCAGTCTGAAAACCAGCCCCTCGGCAGAGCCAGAACAGATATGGACAGAGACCGGAGAAAAGAGAGAAACAAAGAGCAGGGGAGAAAGGGGGGCAGAAGCTAAGTTAAGTAGGAGGTAGAAAACCTGACATGTGAAGCCTGGCTCTGTCAAATATTAGCTGGGTAACCATGAGCTTCTGGGAAATAGGAATAATAACTAACTCATGGAGTGGGAACATGTGTGACAAAGCACAGTGCATACCAGTAAACAGTGCATGCCAGTTGGCTGATATTATTCTAATTTTTTGTTGTTACGTGCCATAGAGTCAGTTCCTACTCATAGTGACCCTGTATAGGGTTCCAAGGAGCAGCTGGTGAGCTTGAACCACTGACCTTGCACTTCAAACCAACTTTTCTAATTAGTAAGAAAAAAATCGGAAGAGAAAGGGAACATCTGAAAAGAAACAAAGACAAGCAGAGAGAAAGATGGAAAGACTAGAGAAAGTGAGAGAGGGAGAGAAAAGAGGAAGGAGGGAGGAGAACGATAAGGGAGGAAGAGATAAGAACCCAAAAAGGGCTATACATACAGAGAATGAAAATTCACAGAGATGGAACAATACAGAGAGGGGCTAGAACAGGGAGATAAGATGAAGGGGGGATAAAAAGAAGAGGCAGAGGGAGAAGAGATATAGGGAAGGAGAAATAGAGAGAGGAGAGTGAGAGGGAAGGAAAGATGAGAGAGACACCGAGAAGAGGGAGGTGCTGAGATAAAGAGAATAGAAAGACACACAGCAGGCAGTTCCCTGCTCTCCCCTTCCACCACTAGTGAGTTCCAAGAGGCGAGAAGATGCAGCACAGACAACAAAGAATGGGAGCAGGAGAGAGAGCTGGGCCAGGGGTGAGGACCATGGAGGGGGCACTGACCAATCCGGCTGTCCATGACATAGGTCTCAATGATGGCGCTCTTCCGGCAGAGGTCCTCTGCCATGGAGGCACTGCTCACTTCCAGGTGCTTCACCTGCAGGATGGCCCAATCCACCTCAGACCCATCAACTGCACATTTTCACTCATGGGAAGGGCCCAGCAGACAACCCCCCCCCCCCAACCTCTCAAGGGCATTCCACATGGGGATAAGCAGGCAAACAGATAGCACCTTCTCCTCTAGCATCCATTTTTCCTGCTGTGTCTCTGCCAGCCGCTGAAAGAGCTCAGCCACTTCCTCATCAGACAGCTCTGCTGGTCGAGGGGGCTGGGCCTGAGGGCTATTAGACAAAGACTGTAAAAAAAGAGAAGAGAGGTCAGCTCTAGGCCCAGTCTCACCCACCCTCAGATTGTAGTGATAGACTGAGAAGAACGAGACAAAGGGTGCAATGAGGAGAAGGTGGGGCTGTAGGCACCCTCAGAGACTCTGTATCCCCCTATAGTGAAAGGGAGAGAGGCAGTAACTACCACATCATAGTACTGTTAGAGGATGAAGGGAGATCCTGTAGCAAATGAGATCTAACTTTTAGTTAACAGGAAAGCTAAGGGAGAAAGGAACAAACTAAATGACAAGGAAGCAAGCAGAAAAATCCAAAAGGTGGGACTTTCTGCAGTTCAATAGGACTGATTTCTTCAACAAGTTGGTGCCATGAAATAAAGGGACCCTGCTATGAAATAAGGGACATAAGACAACCAGATGCAATAAATGCTCTGAAAATGAATGCTGGTTTTCATAAAACTAGCTATAAAGGATATTTAGAGTCCTGGAGTGGTGCTGTAGGCTAATGAGCTGGACTGCAAAGTCGGTTTGAACTGCAGGGTTGGTGGTTCAAGCTTACCAGCTATTCCTTGGAAGCCCTATACATGGTCACTATGGGTTGGAACAGACTTGACGGCACGTAACAACAATAAAAACAAAGGATATTTTGAGGCCAACTAGAGAAATTTGATGCATGTCAAAGTACTGGATGAGATGAAAATTTACAAATTGGAATGGTAGAAATCAGTTGAACAAAAGCAGGTTGCATATGATCTCAAGTTGAAAAAAGGGATTTCATATATAGATAGTATACCTACTATGAGATACTTTATGTTATCAGAAAAGGTGGAATTAGCCCACACAGGATAAAACAGAGTCAAAGAGAATGATCTGCCCATCTCCCATTAAGCAATCTGAATCCAAGTTGTTGAGCTTAAGAACTTGACAAGACAATGTGTGTGCTGGGCCCAGAATAGGAGATGGTTGCAAGTTGGGAAGAAAGGAATAGCCCAGAATTTGGGTAGGAAAAGCCGGGCTGTAGGCTCTTCTTTGCCCCTTACCCTAGCTGGAACGGCTGAGCTCTCCTTTTCCCGCAAGATCTCACGGTAACTGAAGGAGGATACGCTGCTGCTGTCCCCTGTCTGGGTCCGGCTTGGTGAGTTCATCTCTGAGAGAACCAGCTCCTCGAGGCCTAGGCAGTGAGGGAACAGAAACCTGAGCTTCAAACCCCAGGGTTCCAGGGCAATGATAGACAGAAAGAGGCAGAAATAGGTTTGAGAGAGAGATAAAGAGGCAGAGCTACTTGGGCATGGGGACAGGGAGAGACAGATAATAGGACAAGGGAAAGAGACAGAAACACAAAAAGCAACTGCCTCCCAAGGCAAACACACACAACAGAAGGAAACAAAGCTAAAGAGACTGGGAGAAAGATCGAAATGTGGATTCTCACAGGCATAAAGTGACATATGCAACTAAGAGCGAGGGTACAGAAAAAGAAAACAGACAGCTGGAGAGGGCAGAGATGCACACCCACATGCAGAGAGCAAAAGCCAGAAAGACAGAGAAGACAGAGCAGATGACAGAGACAAACAGAGACCCAGGAGAAAAACACAAGTCAGAGCAGAGAGAAAAAAGATGGAGATAGATCTCATAGCCATATACCTAAATCTGAATTTAATCTAATAGGCAAGGAGAGTGCATGGTACATAATTCTAATCTATTTGGTAATTCTTACATTCATCTGTAACAAAAAAGCCACAGAAAAATCCTGCTTTATGTAGAGAGGTTACGTCAGGAGATCGAGTGCCTCAGAGAGAAATTGATTTGGTGATACATCTATTTTGCCACATCACTTAAAAAGCACAGGCACTGTGTTTGTGCTGTTGCTCTTGTGAGTGGTTCTGGGTGTCAGGGTGGGGGCTGAGAACACAATCCAAGGGATCCCCAGCAAGGGTGGAATGGTTGAGTAGGGTTCCATAAGTACCCTGAGTGGGGGGAACAAAGGGAAGAGTTTTTTCTGAGTCTGTGACATAGAAGATGCGCCAGAGTCACATTGCATTTGATTTGTTTATTTAGGTGTATTTATAGGTCATCCTTTCTTTAAAAAGGTAAAAACAACAAAGGTTTTTTGTGCGTCTTCTGCTTTAAATAGTAGAAGAAATATAAATTGGATTAGCTCCATCATTAAACTACCACAATATTGCTGCCTGCTTTTAAGTCTGTCTCCTTAGCTAAACTGGGAGATCCTAAGGGGCAGGGATCGAAACAGAGCTAGAAAGAGATAAAGAGACAGGGAAATGAAAAAAAGAGAGGGGAAAAGGAGATTATCAGAAAAAAAAAAAAAACAAACACAAAGAGAAACAGATACAGAAGACACTGAGAGACAGTAGCTACAAAAAGACAACAAGATGAAACAGAAGAAATAAGAAATATAGAAGAGACACAGTATATATAGAGAGAGACACAGTAAGAAACAGAGAATGCAGACAGAGATAGAAACAGGAAAAGAAACACACAGAGAAAAAGTAAAAGACAGACTGAGTTCAAGAAGGCCAGAAAACACCACAGGCTAGGAAGATGTGTGGGCAAAGTGAGATGTAAGGAAGGACCTTTCTAGCCTTCAGGTCCAAGCCCCGCCTCCTCTGTGCCTGTTGCAGTCCCTTACCTGAACGGCTCTTGCTGTTTGTGAGGATGTCCTGCAGCCGCTCCTGTAGCTTGTCTGCACGTTTCCGCTCCAGATGCAGCTGCCGTTTGAGGTCCTTGAGCTGCGGAGTACCAGGAAGAGAGGTGGGGAATGAGGCCCACTGGGCCTAGAGGTGGGGGCCACAAGCTAGGAGTGAGCTTTGCTTGGGCACCTCCCCATCTTACTGCAGCACTGCCCTTCTTCTCCAGGATTCGCTGCCCGTCCACTGTGTCCTTCACCTCCTGTGGGATAGAAAGCCTGGCTGATGAATGCTGGGATGGCAATGTGCAGTCTGCTCCCTCACTGCCCTCGTACTGCACACTAAGGTGGCCGTGATGGAACTACTGACCTGTTTCAAGCTGCTGATGGTTTTCAGATGGCTATCTCGCTCTTCCTGAGCCTGCTGAAGCTGATCCCGCACACCCTGCAGCTCCTCCTCCTTGTCCTGTAAAACAGTGGGCAGGACAGGCCTCAGCTTGGATAATCTCAGCTTCAAGACTAGGGACTGCCAAACCCCAAAGGAAAGGCCACCGTCATATCACAGGTACCTTCAGCTGGGCAGCATGCTGTTCTTGACACTGCTTGAGGGCTTCTTCTTGTTCCTGCTGCTGCTGCTGCAGAGACTCCTGTAAGACAAGTCCCAGGTCTGACCACAGCCCCAACTAGACATTATGGCCACTTAGTGGTGTGGTGTGTGTGTGTGAGCTACAGTGAAGGCACATAGGTATGATGGAAAGACCCTCCTGCAGGCAACACTGCATGCTCTTAAGTAATACACAAAGTGTCACATCTAAGGCTGCATTTACCTTTTATTTAACAGCAGTACTTACTATACATCTAGGGAATGTTATAACAGTTTTACTTACATTAACTTGTTTACCTTTTATTTTATTTAACAACAGTACTTACTATATCCCAGGAATATTTTATGGGTTTTACTTATATTAACTTATTTTATATCTAGACCCAAAACTCACTGCCACCAAGTCAATTATGACTCATTGGGACCCTATAAGACAGAGTAAAGCTGCTCATAAGGTTTCCAGAGCTGTAAATATTTATGGAAGGAGACTGCCACATGTTTCTCCCACACAGCAGCTGATGAGTTTGAACCACTGACCTTTTGTTTAGCAGCCAAGTGCTTTAACCACTGTACCACCAAGGCATTATAGTCAGTATGTACTAATGTTATCACCTTTTTACAGATGATGAACAGAAGCCACTGAGAGGTAACTTGCCCAAAGTTACTCAGCTACTAAATGGCTCAGCCAGGATTCCCACTCAAACAAACAATTGGCTCTAAGGCCTGTACTCTTAACTACTACAGGATACTGCCTGTTATGTATTATGAATTTTCAAGAAGGTGGCAGTAAAGGTGCTTGTTCTAATAAATAGTATAGAACAAGCACTTCTACTTTTTCTGAGATGGAAGCATAGTTTCAGGAGGCAAAGGTGACTTTTTAATGTGCACAAAGGCAGGGCAGCCTTGCACAACTAACATTCTGCCCTATTCGTTGGCCATTCCCTGAGCCCCTCCAGAAGGCTTCTTAGAAATATTCAAGGCCTAACCACTCCTGTCCCACTGGCTTGGAATGGAAACCCCTCCTGACCAGCCTCTGCCCTTTGCCAGGCACCACCAACTCACCTCAGCTTCCTTCAAGCGCCGTTCAAACCAGCCCTTAGCTCCATCCATGGAGTGTACCTGAGCCTGAAGTTCTTCCACTGTCTGCTGGAGATTCTCCAGCTCCCGGGTCCGGGCCTGGGAGGGAACAGAGTGTCTTGGACCAGGCAGGCACAAAAATGGGTACCTCACTCATGCCAATGAGTCCATCAAAAAACTGTGGTCCCCAGGATTTAGAGGAAGGGCATCATCATCTACCCACCCACCTTCTCCTCACGAATCTGTCCACGCAGCTCCTCCTCCTGACGCTTTTTGTCTTCATGCAACTCTCGGAGTTCACGCTCATAGCGGGCACGCACCCCCAGCACCTCCTTCTCATGCCGTAGCAGAACTGCTCCCAGTTCTTCCTTGTGTTGTGACTTCTCCTGCAGTGTTTCCATTGCGAGCTCATCTAGCATGGCCTTCCGCTTCTCAGCACTCTGGAAGCCAAGAGTTTGGGGCAGGAGGATGGCAGTCAACTTCCTGCCATAACAGCAAAAAAAGACCCACCATTCTCTCCCCATGTCCAAGGAACTAGCCTGATTCTATCTCCTTCCCTCCCCCTAAGTCACTCATCCACCCTCATGGACCTGGTCACTTTCTTTCCCCACATATGCCCATGGATTTGGCCAAGGAACTGGTCAATCATGGAAATGATCAACTTTTATTCTCTTCCTATCTCCATGGATTTGGCCACATTATGTCCCCTGTCCCCATAGACTGGGTCAATCCCACCTTCCCTACCCCACTTATCATGTGCCCTACTTTTCGAGCCTCCTGAAGGTCCTGGCTCAACTGTTCCTTCTCTTGCCCTAGCTCTTGAAGTTGTTCCAGCAGCCGATTATTGGCCCGTAATGACTCCTAAAACAGAAAATGGGTGAGTTAGATAAACAGCTTCCAATGGGTGCAGATCACCCGGGACACTTCTGGTAGACCATCTCCCTTAACCCTGCCTATTAATGCAGCTAAGGGCTAGTGGTGTATCTGGGGGCCATGGCAGGACCACTGAACTGTTTCAGGCTGCTGCTAGTTTTCTCATTTTATGGATAAATATAGCAAAGACTGCTAGTTATTCCCCAGTATTCGTTCTCCCCTACTTCTCTAGCAATAGGATTTTTAATTGGGCACATGGCTGTTTAGCTGATGTTTTCCCTGCTCCCTTGCAGTTAGGTATGGCCATGTGATTAATTTCTGTATACAGAAGAGATGAGGGTAACTTAGGTTATGCTCTTAAAGGAAAGAGGCATGCTGTTCCCATTCCCTGTCCTTTATACTGGTATGCAACCATGATGGTGAAGGAGCTTGAGCAATGAACATGGATGAAAGTAGCAGAATGGCAATGTAAAAGGAACCTGGGCCACTGATTATTACAATGTCATAATTCTATCCCTGGGCAATCTAACTGGACTTTTACATGGGAAATTACTAAACTTCTGTCTTATTTGATTTCTATTTGGTTTCTATTATGGAATCAAAATGGATGTCCTAACTAATTGAAGCAGAAGAGGCACGATCTCATATAAGTGAGAAGGGTTGCGCTAAGACACATAGGTGATAACAAGTTAGGGAACCAAATTGAAACCTAGGCCCTCCTGACACCACAATCTTCCCCTTGCACTTCATGGGGGATGGCTTCATTGAGACAGTACTAGGGAACTAGGAGAAGACAGAAAAAAGGTCAGAGTTGTCACCTGGAGCTGGGAGTTGAGGTCATCTTTCTGTCCCATGAGGTCCTCATATTCAGTCTGCCGCTGCTGCAACTCAGTTGCTAGGCCAGTAGTCTGTTCCCGAAGCATATTCAGTTCTTGGGTCTTTGCTGTTTGGATCTGGAGAAAGTAGAGATGATGGGACATGAAGTGAATGGGGCCCCAGTAGCCAGGTTCAGAGCATGGGTCTCTCAGTTCCAGCAATACAGGGAGAGTTGATAGGAAAAAAGCCAGGAGGAGAGAGAATTTTAGAGAAAATAACAGTGAGAGAAAGGATCAGGGGAATGGATAAATTGTAGCATATTCATACAATAGAAAATGATACAGTAACAAAAGAACAGACCAGTGCCACTTATGGATAAACTTCACACTAACATGCTGCAGGAAAGAAGCAAAAAAAAAAAAAAAAAAAAAAAAAGGGTATCTGGTTCCATTTACATGATGCTAAAGAACAAGCAAAATTAACCTATGGTGATAAGAGATCAGAAAAGTGGCTACTTTCAGGAAAAAGGCATAATGGAACTTTCTGGGGTACTGAAAGTGCTCTCTATCTTGATTTAGGTGCCGATTACATGAAAACATACACCACACATACACATATATATATATGTGTGTGTGTGTGTGTGTGTGTGTGTATATAAGGTCAGCGGAGAAAACTCACCAGCCACTCCTCAAAAACCCTATACAGGCTCACTATGAGTCAGAACTGACTCGATGGCATTTAACAACAACAATTAGAAGAGTCCTGGTGACACCATAGGATAAGTACTGCATTGCTAACTACAAGGTTGGCAGTTCAAATCCACCAGACACTCCGCAAGAGAAAGATGAGGCTTTCTGCTCCCATAAAGACTTATAGCCTTGGAAACCCTATATATAGGGTTGCTAGAGTGGGAACTGACTCAGTGAGTTTGGGTTTGGCTTTAGATATAAATATATTACAAGGGAGCTTCAAACAGTTGAAAAATTCCATTTTTTTGAAACTTTTATTGTGAATTGAAAGTTTACAGAGCATATCACCAGTCCCACATTATATAAATCATATACTTTGTTTCATTACAATGATTGCAACTTCCTCTATGTAACAGTTAACAGTATTTACCTCTTTACCTCTATTTACTTTACTCTTGCATTCCTCCCTGTGTCTTCCGCTATCTTCATTTTTTAATTCCATTTTCCATGAACTTCTGAAGCCCCCTTATATATGTGTATGTGTGTGTATTCTGTTGTTAAGTGCCATCAAGTCTGTCAAGTCTGTTCCTACTCATAGCGACCCTGTATAGGGTTTCCAAGGAGCAGCTGGTAAGTTTGAAACCGCTTACCTTGTGGCTCAAAATTGATCTTACAGTTTAATGCTTTATCCCACAGTGCCACACCAGAACTATATATATATATACACACACACAGAGATATATATGATTTACTGAGCTTTACACTTAGGATTAGTACACTTCATACTTTATTTTTTACTAGAGCGTGAGAAACTAGAATGCAAGAGAAACAGTGCCAGATGGCTAGAAATAAATTAAAAATGAAACAGAAACAAACAGCATGAGATCCAGACCACCCTGCCCCAATGTGGACCAGAAGCAAAGCGGAGGGAGGTAGGGGAAGTGCAAGGGATCGGTGAGAGCTCCCAGGTGTCCTGTACCTGCTCCAGGGCAGCCAGGCTAGTCCTCAAGGCATTGTTTTCAGCCAAAAGCCCTTCTACTTGTTCCTGCGCATCTGCACTCTGGATGGACACCTGGCCCCACCCCCATAACAGGTGAGAGTGGGCCCAAAAGAGAGGGACAGGACCTATTTATAACTAAGAAAGAAAGGAGAACGAGAGACACACACACAAAAACCAGGACAGGGGTAGGGTAGCAGGATCCCTGGGGCCTTGCCTGCCTGTATGCCACCCACTCAGGCTCCCTCCACCCTCACCCCCAACTCGCTAGGCCTACCCCTACAACGTACCTGATCATGTAGGGCCCGGAGAGTTGCTGCATGCTCCATGCGCTCCTCCTGTCGCTGACCTCTCAGCTCTGCCAAGCTCTATGGGGAAAAGAAGGTGAGGGGAGCAATTCCAGCGGTATATAGACCCATAAAGATTCCCTCTTTGACCAATCAACAGCATGTCCCTAGTACCTGAAGGTACTAGAATACCCAGCCATCAGAGATCTCAGCCTCACCCAGATTCCAGGTCATTACTCCTCAAGGCCTCAGGCATACTCAAGCCCTATGTCCCAGACTCCTGGCGCTAGCTCCTGGAGACTTTCAACTAATCCAGTCTCCATTCATAATTGGTCTCAGACTCACCCGGATTCCAGATCATAACCCTTAGGATTCTCAGACACACTCAGTCCCCACAGAACTCAAATTCAGTCAGCTCTCAGGACTCCAGATTCACCCAGACTCCTGATTCCAACCCTCAAGGGTCTCAGATACATGTAACTCCCATGTCGCTAGCCAGCAAGAGCTAATTTACAGTCCCAGACTCTAGAGGTCTCAAACTCATACAACCTTCTAGTTTTCAGCTCCTGGTGAGGTCTCAGACTGCCATTCCTACCATTCCCATCTGGGGATCTTCAGCTAACCCCCAGCTTCTTTGTGTCTCAAGTTTACCCAGATTTCTGTCCTCAGTCCCCAGGGGTCTTAGGCTCACCGCCCCCCCCCCCCCATGTTCCTAGTTCTTCCATCCCAAGAGACCTAAAACTTATCCCCTCTAGGGGAAAACTAGAGGTTCTAAATTTATCTAGCCCACAACCTCCTGGAGCCTGACATACCTAGACTTTTACTGTAGCCTCTGGAGTCCCAGGCTCACCTGTTTTCTGTTTCCATGCCCCAGGGTCTCAGGACTACCCAGACCATGTGATCCCTGTCTCTAGGTGTCTCAGACCCAATCCAGTCCCCGGACCTGGAGAGTCTCAAATATACCCAGCCTCCAATTTCAACTGTCCCACTTTGGAAGTTTTTAAAGTACTCAGTCATGTCTCCAGACTCTGGGAGTCTCAAACTTACTGACACCCCAGTCCCTAATGATCTCAAAGTCATCTTGTTGTTAAGTGCCATCGAGTCAGTTCCGACTCATAGAGATCCTGTATATATGGTTTCCGAGGAGTGGTTAATGGGTCTGAACTGCTGACCTTATGGTTAAGCAGTCCAATGCTTACCCTACAGCATCATACCAGGCCTCCAGGAATTTAAGACTCACTTCAAATCCTATTCCAATCTACAGTGACCATAAATTTATCGATACTCCTGGCAAACAGCTCCCAAGTCTCTTGAACCCAGGAATCTTAGACTAATACAGACTCTTATCCCAACTCCCAGGGGTCTTGGGGCTACCCACCTTCCATTTTTCTAGCTCCTGGGGTAGAAGCTAGATGCATCCAGTCCCTAATGTCTCCAACGCAGGAATTCTCAGACTCCCCAGCCAACCTCTGTGAACCTCAAACCTCTGCAGACTCCTCCCTACCCCTGGTCCCTATCCCAAGGATCTCAGAGCTACCCCCACTGCCTCCTCTCCCTCCAGCCACCTGATTGGCAGCTTCTAGTTCCTGTTGCAGCTTCTGCGTCCTAGCCAATTGGGCTTTGAGATCAGCTTCCTTTCGCTGTTGTAACTCCTCAATCTTGTTCCTGGAGGTGACAGCAGGGGATGGAGGGCAGTTAAGCACAGTAGGCACAGCTTGAGGTCCAGTCTCCCAACTCTGGCCAGTGAGTGGCCTTCAGTTAATTCTGGTGGACAGTGTCTCTGTTTTCCACCAATACTTCCAATCCTGGCAGTTACCTGCTGTCATTGAATAGTGTCTCCTTCTCTGTCTGCAGACGGCAAAAGCTGGGCACAAAAAACAAACAATAAAAACCAGACATAGTGGGGTCAATTCCATAAGTCCCCTACTTTCTAGTGTGGTAGCATAGTGGTTACGAATCAGGCTGCGAGCCTTAAGGTCAGCAGTTCGAAACTACCAGCTGTTCCACAGGAAAAAGAGAAGGCTTTCTGCTCCCGTAGAGATTTACAGCCTCAGAAACCCTGTACAGGGTCACTATGGGTCGGAATCGACTCAACAGCACTTAACAACAACAAAACCCACTTCATTCCTCTCACCTCTAGAAAAAAACAAAACAACAACAGTACCTTTCTTGTTTCTTTTTCAGTTTCTCGGAGAGCTGGAGATAGATAACAATAATATTAATAAGGCAAATAAACTTAATAATTATAGATACTTTTTACTAAATTCCTTCTGAAAGCCAGAATTTACTTATGCTATTTCATGGACTCCTCAAAAGAGCCCTGAGAAGTAAGTACTATTGGTTTACACACAGGGAAACCGAATCTCAGAAGAGTTAAGTCATATGGTTGCCCAGCTGGCAAGCAACAGCACAGTCTCAAGCTCCAAAGACCAGCATTCATGCCCCCACCAGAATATCAATCAATGGCCACGTTATAGACTGGCTTGGCTGGGAGGCATGGAAAGTAGAGCCATGGTGGGCTACTTTACCACTTGGTCTCTAGTGCCTAAGAAAAGAGACAGTATTCTATAAATGCTTGGATGGATGAATGAATGACTAAATGAACAAACAGAGCTGGAAGGAAACAAAAGGAAGGCATGGGGCCTGTCAAGTACAGGACATAGTGAGACCCATTCCACCATTGAAAACAACTTTGAGATATAACTCCATTTCACACAATAATGATACTGAAGCTTTTAAGGGGTACTATGCCCTTTCTGCCCTATCAGGGGAAGCTTGGCAGGTAGGGCAAATCTAAGGGAAAAACCCAGCAGACCCACCTTAGCAAGTTCCTCCTGCAGCCTGGATGTTTCAGCCTGCTTCAAGCTCTACAGTGAAAGATAGGGCTGTTGTCACTAAGAGAGGATAAAGTCTCTGACTTTCCCTACCCTTCTGCCTCCCTCATCCCAGGTAGCCCAGGAAAAGATGATGTCATAGACATCTCCATGGGATCATAAATAGGGGTAGGGCATCTGCCTGCCTCCCAGCACCCAAACCTCAACAAACCCAGATTCACCTCCAAGCCTTGCAGCTGCTCCCAGAGCAATCTCTTCTCTTCTTTCTCCATCTCCCATTTCAGCTCCACCTCTGCCAATGGCATGGGGGCCAAGACAGTAGAGGCTGGGTCCCCTGGGGGGTCACCTTGGCCCTCAATGACAGCTGGAGACCTCCCAGCCTCTTTCCCATAGCGCTCCTGCAGAGCTGGTGGGTTGGACAGAGATATATGATGGATGAGTTTGTTTCTAAAGATCCTTGCCAGACCTCAAATAGAAGGAAAACTGGCCTTTGACCCCTCCAGGCAAACAGATTGTTGTCGCTGTTAAGTTGGTTCCAACTCATAGTGACTCTGTATAGGGTTTCCAAGGAGCATTTGGTAGGTTGGAACCACTGACTTTGCAGTTAGTAGTCTAGTGGTTATCCTACATCAGACACGAGACACCCTATACCAAATGACCACAAACCATGTTCAACTATAAGCTAAAGGTTCAGTCCATCCATGCCTCTCACAAATCTCAATGAGATCCCGTATACCATCAAATTACCCCAAGGTGGGTTTCCAAGCCCCATCTTTATCCTTCCAAGCTCCACCCACAGCATTCCCAGGCCATGCCCACTATGTTCCACCCCTATGTACAGTTGAATCCCTTCCCCTATTGTTGTTAGTTGTCCTTGAGTATTTGTAACTCATGAGGATGCCATGTGTGCAGAGTAGAGTGGTTCCAAAGGTTTTCAATGCTGTGATCTTTTAGAATCCCTCCTATAATCTTATGACCCCCACTCACATTTCACAAAGTCTCCTTTCTGACCCACTACCCCATAAGTCCTAGCTGCTCTCAAAAAGTCTTCACACCAGAATCCTCTTTCAAGCTTTCTTTCATCTTTCATCCCAGATCCTACTCCAAAAACTCCTTCAATTCACTTTCTCTACTTAGCAAATAGGTCCTTTTCGATGTTCCATCTGGCAATCTTTTAACACTTGCTATGTGTTAGGCACTGAACTAAATGCAGAATGATACCATCTCCTATCTCTACTACAGTTTGCCAGATGGTGGACATCAATCACCACATGTACTTTGTAAACAAGGGCACTTTGACCCAGAGAGGTAAAATGGCTTGTTCAAAGTCACACACTGGTTCATGGCAGTCATGCCTGATTCTGGAGGCTCTTCCTCTTTCCCTGGGGGAAGGAGGGAAGCCCAGGCTTCCTTACCCAGTTCAAGCCCTGCGGTCCCTACATCCTCAGGAGGGCCTCTGAGTACCTGCCACATTCTTCTGTAAGGCTGTGTTCTCTGCTTGCAGTCTCAGCAGCTCGCCATCCACAAGATTCCCAGCTTGGGCAGCCCCTTCCCTGGAAGCCCCATCCTTCAGTTGCTGGTTCTCCCACTCAAGTTGTTCCATCTGGCTGCAGAGCTGAATTGGGGAAGAAGGAAGCAGCAGGGAATCATAACAATATTCTCGGAAGCATACACAGCACTTGGCACATGTAAGTTCCCCTAATAACCCTGGCAAGTAGTGCTCCCATTATCCTCCCTTTATAGATAAGGACACTGAAGCACAGAGATGTTAGGCAATTTCAAATTTACACATCTGGTAAGTAGCAGAGTCAAAGAGGAGGACCCTGAAAAGAACTTCCCTCTCACACACTCCCATTTTCAAAGATGTAATCCAAGACCTCAGGCTGCTCTGGAAGTTTCCTGGACAAGAAAGGTCCACCACTAGCATTCTGTAGAGGGAATGTATCTTGGATTCTAGACCCAGGGGCAGATGCCTCTCAGCCCAGGTACCAGAGACAGTTTAGGGTAATTTCAAGGGCTTTGGAGAGGTGTACAATACAAATAAATTTCAAACTGGCCTTATAGAACTCCTGTATAGTTTCTACAGCACTCCTGAGGAGGTTCTTTGTCTCCATTTTTAGATATGAATACTAAGGCCCATGGAAAGTTCTAAATTTATTGTCGTTATTTTCTCCCTAGAATACTAGTTTTCCAGCTCTTCACATGACTAAGCCTTCTTTACAGACATCAGAGCTCTGATCAAATGTCACCTCTAAGGTTTACATCCTCCAACAAATACACCACAGTGCTCTCTTTCATAGCACTGTTGGTTTCTTTTTTACCTGGAGCTTATTACAGAGATTCTGAAACCAGACTGCTTGGAAGTTAATTTCTACCCTGTCATTGACTAGCTATGTGACCTTGGGACAAGTTATTAAATCTCCGAGGCTCAGTTTTCCTCATTTGGTCAAAGCTGTTAGCTGCCGTCGAGTTGGTCCAGGACTCATGGCGATCCTATGCACAACAGAACAAAACACTGCAACAGATCTGCGCTCTCCCCATGATTTGTTGCAGATGGAACTACTGCACTCCATAGGACTTTCACTGGGTGACTTCCAGAAGTAAACCACCAGGCTGTTCTTCCTAGTAGTTCTTAGTCTAGAGGCTATGCTGAAACTTGTTCAGTATTACAGCAACATGCAAGTCTTCACTAAACAACAAGTGATAGCTGCACATGAGATCCATATATATAAACATGGAGTCCTGGTGTGGCGCTGTAGGATAATGCACTGGGCTACAAGGTCGGTTTGAACCACAACGTTGGCAGTTCAAACTCCCCATCCGCTCCTTGGAAACACTATACAGGGTTGCCATGAGTCAGAACCAACTTGACAGCACTTAACAACAACACAGATAGATAAATTTTAAACTATGTCATCATGTTTCTTCCAATTCCACACCCAGAATGTAAGTTATCTGAGAGTGGGACCATTCTGTCTACTCACAACTGTATTTATAAAACATTAGTGAACACAGTGAATGCTTACTATTTACTGAAGGTATAACTGAGCTGAAATGTCTTGGCAAATAAGTAATGAGTACTTCTTGGGTCTCTCAGTGAGTACTTCTAGATCCGGGAAGAAGAAGGGAGACTATGAAGGAGGTCTCTACACAGTTTCTGTCGTGTTGATTCCCACTCATGGTGACCCCATGTGTGTCCAAGTAGAACTGTGCTGCACAATGTTTTTAATGGCCGGTTTTTAGAAATAAATCACCAGGTCTATGTTCTGAAGTGTTTCTTGGTAGGCTCGAATGACCAATAATTTGATTAGCAGCTGACTGCATTAACTGTTTGAACCACCCAGGAAGTCCTGACACTAGGTTGGTGTCAAAAAACATGAGCTGCATTTAGGGGGGAATGCCTGCTCCTGTCCCACCCTGCAAAAACCATGATACCACTGAGGCAATAAGGAATGAAGCAGTGAGGTCAGCTGTGAAGCTCTAAACTGTAAGGGACATGGAACGACACAGTAAGATACTATTTAAAGAAGTGATGTGGTAAGGCTTATGGGTTAGAATAACCTGTGGTGTGGTGTGGACTGGTAGAGGAAGCTGGAAGAGAGGAAAGCAGGGAAGAGGCTGTGGAAGTAGAGCCAGGCAGGAGATGGCAAGGGTGAAGGCAAGGCAGGACCACAGGATAAATATAAAACTTTCTAAAAGTCAAGAAATATTTGAGAAAGAAAATAAAGCAATAAAGGATATTAGGGGCTGACACTGTGTACAATGTTTTGTTGTAAGCAGTTTATATACATTAACAATTTAATCTTCACAAAAGCCTTGTGAGAGAAGTACTGTTATTACCATCCTTTCCGTTTTAAATGCTTGGAAATCAAGGTGATTGTTGTTAAGTGCCGTGGAGTCAGTTCCAACGCATAAAGACCCTGTATAGGATTTCCGAGGAATGGGTGGTGAGTTGGAACCACCAGTGAGTTTGAACTGCCAACCTTATCCTACAGTGCCACACCAAGATGGTTACAGGTAGTAAAAGGTATAACCAAGATTCTAGCTCTAGAGTCCTCACTCTTAACTGGTTGTGGTATTGCGCCGTTGAGTCAATTCTGATTCATAGCGACCCTGTATAGGGTTTCTGAGGCTATAAATCTGTACTGGAGCAGAAAACCTCATCTTTTTCCCATTGAGCAGCTGGTAGATTCGAACTGCTGACCTTGTGGTTGTTGTTGTTGTTGTTGTTGAGTGCCGTCGAGTCGGTTCCAACCCATAGCGACCCTGTACAGGGTTTCCGAGGGTGTAAATCCTTACGGGAGTAGAAAGCCTCATCTTTCTCCCGCGGAGCGGCTGGTAGTTTCGAACCACTGACCTTAAGGTTCGCAGCCCGATTCGTAACCACTACGCTACAATATCTAACCACTACGCTACCAGGGCTCCTTCACTCTTTACTACTTGCAAAACTGCTTCTATGGTATTGTACCTTTTTATTTATTTTCTTTTTTTGCTTTGTGTGTTTTTCTTTTTTAAGATCTTATGGGCACTGAATAAGGAAGACCGTAGAAGAATTGATGCTTTTGAGCTATGGTATTGGAGGAGAATATTGAAAGTGCCATGAGCTGCCAAAAGAACCAATAGATCCGTTTTGGAAGAAGTGCAGCCAGAGTGCTACTTGGAGGCCAGGATGGCCAAACTTCCTCTCTCATACTTCGGACATATTGTCAGGAGGGACCAGTCGCTAGAGAAGGATATCATGTTTGGTAAGGTGGAAGGTCAGAGAAAAAGAGGAAGACCCCCAGCGAGATGGATTGGCCAAGTGGCAACATCAATGGACTCAAGCATGGCAACAGTAGTGAGGTTGGCCCAGGATAGGGCAGTGTTTCATTCTGCTGTGCATAAGGTCGCTATGGTACCAACTTGATGGCACCTAACAACAACAACAATACCATATTCTCAGGTTGTTGTTGTTGTTGTGAAGTGCTGTTGAATCAATTCCGACTCATAAAAATCCTGCAGAGGGTTTCCAAGGAGTGGCTGCTGGGTTTGAACTGCCAACCTTGTGGTTAGCAGTCTAGTACTTGTCCCACAGAGATACACCAGGACTCCATACTCTCTGGTGTTGTTGTTAAGTGCCGTCGAGTCGGTCCTAACCCATAGTGACCCTGTATAGGGTTTCCGAGGAGTAGCTGGTGAGCTTGAACCATCAATTTTGCAGTTCAAACAGACTTTGCAATCCAGTGCATTAACCCACAGCACCACACTGGACTCTATATTCTCAGGTTGTTGTTGTTGTTGTTAAGTGCCGTCGAGTCGGTTCCGACCCAGAGCGACCCTGTACAGGGTTTCCGAGGCTGTAAATCTTTACGGGAGTAGAAAGCCTGATCTTTCTCCCGCGGAGCAGCTGGTAGTTTCGAACTGCTGACCTTACGGTTCGCAGCCCGATTCGTAACCACTACACTACCAGAGCTCTTCGAAACACCATTTTTGTTACTATAGGCCTTTTTTTTTTTTTTTAATAAAACCACCCTAAAATCTTAGAAAACAATTAACAACAGATACACAATATAGATAATGGAACAAAAGACAATGTCTTTACTACTCAGGAAATTTAAAACTCCATATAATCAAGGAGCTCTGGTAGCGTAGTGGTTACGAATCGGGCTGCGAACCTTAAGGTCAGCGGTTCGAAACTACCAGCCGCTCCACGGGAGAAAGATGAGGCTTTCTACTCCCGTAAAGATTTACACCCTCGGAAACCCTGTACAGGGTCGCTATGGGTCGGACCCGACTCGATGGCACTTAACAACAACATACAATAAAATCAGTAAGGACATAAAGCTATCCGATCCAGGATAAATCACCTGAAAGAAGCAGAATCCCAAGATCATGTCAGTAAAAGAAAGGAAGGAGAGGTGCCTCTTTATACCATATTAAGTATAAGAAGTTTACTATCTAAGACCCCTCCTAGGATTCTATAGCATCAGTCCCAAATCATACAAAAAGAGACTTGAAGCTCAAAGAAAAGGAGTGACTTGGCTAGGAACCAACTGACCTCGTTACAGTCTTCTAATCCCAGCACAGTGAGCAGTCCCATCGGTCAAATCACTGCCCCCAGCAGCACCTCAGGAGTGGTTTCAGCACCACGGACAGTGCTCCAGGCCCAGCCCCTGTCCAGCCCGTCTTCTGCTGCCCTCAGGTTTCAACCCAAGTGGCCCCTATTCCTTGGCTATCCCTGGCACAATCACCTTGCTGAACTCAGCCATAAGGGTGCTGTTCTGCAAACGGAAGTCCTCCTCCTGGCTGTGCAGCTTTGCCTGCAGCATCTCATTTTCACTCAGCAGCCCCTCGATTTCCTGCAGTGGCAGACATGAGCCAGGTCTCCAATAAGGGTCAAAAGATGGGGAGTTTGGGCAAAGAAATAATGACAGGGAACAAAAGACATGGGGTAGGGGGAAAACAAAGGATATCGAGAATGAGATGAGGGGAAGTGAGAAGACATGTGAAGAGAGAAACAGAAAGGGACAAAAAGGAGAGAAGAGGAAGTAAGAAAGGTAGAAAGAAAGATAAAGGATGGGGGGAGGGAGAGACAGAAGGAGGAAAGAGATGATGGGGAGAGAGAGGTAAGGGCAGAGATAAGAGGGAGAGATGGGGAAGGAGTGAGAGACAGGAAGGGGAAAGTGGGGTTAGAGAGGGATAGAGATGGAGACTAGAGGAGGTATAGAGAGATGAGGAAGGAACTTTGGTAGCGTAGTGGGTTATGCGCTGGGCTGCTAACCACAAGGTCAGCAGTTGGGATCCACCAGCTGCTCCATTTGAGAAAGGTAAGGCTTTCTGGTACCATAAAGATTTAATGCCTCAGAAACCCTATACAGGGTCACTATAAGTCGGAATCAACTTGATGGCATGCAGCAGCAGCAGCAGCAGCAGATTGGGGAAAGGGGACTAGACAGAGAAGGAGGGAAGGATAGGAGGGAGAAAAAGGCAGAAAGATAGGAACAAAGATAGATGAAAGAAGAAGTGAGAGAAATAAATGCACATCAGTAAGAGACAGAAGGGTGGGGAGAGAAAAACAAAGAAGTAGACAGAAAAAAAGAAAAAAGAAATGATGACAAAGAGGAATGGGGTTGGGGAAGAAAGAAAGAGGATGAGGAAGAGAACTGAGTGAGAGAGAGGAAAACAGAGAGGTAGACTGGGACAGAGAAAAAGACTCAGAAAGAGAGAAAGAAAGCGATAGGCACAAAGTGAGGGCTAGTGGTAGTGAGATGGTGGTGGCGGTGTGCCGTGCAGTGAGTTCCGACTCAGCGACCCAGCATAGGGTTTCTGAGGCTGTAAATCTTTATGGGAGCAGAAAGCCTCATCTTTCTCCCAAGGAACAGCTAGCTGGTAGTTTCGAACTGCTGATCTTGAGGTGAGCAGCCCAACTCGTAACCATTATGCTACCAGAGCTCCTTTAGTAACAGTTGTTAGAAATAATGGCAGTGAGGTAGTGAGACAGACAGCACAGATGCAAACACACACAGAGAAAAAGAAAGCCCAGCATAAGGAGATCCCAGCATACAGAAATATCCCTATTAAGTCACAGTCTTCCAGACACATTCACCCACCATAGGTATTCTTACCTGAGCTTTCTTGCTCTTGCTCAGTGCCTAATGGGGTGGAAAGAGAGAAAAGATAAATAGAGATGGACCGTCTAACTAGGGTATAGAGATGATTGTGACAAGTCTACAGAGGGAAAATTATAAGAGTTGGAATATGAAGAGTCTTCAATCACAGAATTTATGTGACGATTTAGCACCCACAGAAATGATGGGACAAATCAATGTGTGAGTGAGCAAATGAATGATTAAGGGGAATTCTGCCACAATATGCCAGCACACAGAAATGATCCTTTCCTCTAAGCTTTTGAGGCTGTTCATAGGGCTTATGGGTTATATCACTGGGCTCAAAAATGGTGGCTTCATAACTACATCTGTTCAAACACATCTATGTGGATCCCTCCCGTGCAATTTAGAAACCGCTGCTCCTCTGTTGTCCACCTAAGATCATTGCTAGATTTGAGGAATCTGCCACATTCCAAAGAGAAGCCCAGCCTTCCTGATTGTGAGACTTTCTACATTCTGTATTCTTTCATTCAACAAATATTTATTGGGCACGTGCACATACTATATACAATGAGGAGCCCTGATGGTGTAGTGTGTTACACATTGGGCTGTTAATCACATAGTCAGTGGTTCAAATCCAGCTGCTCCGTAAGAGAAAATGAGATTTTCCGCTCCCATAGAGATTTACAGCCTCGGAAACCCTATACAGGGTCACTATGAGTACGAACCAACCTGGTGGCACACAACAATGCATGGGGACAGAGCAATAAAGAAAAGAGACAAGGGTGGGCCTGAAATGTCTTGAGGGGGCACAATAGATTACATTCTAGCTCATCTTCATAGGATCTGAGAGGTAACAGTACATGTATGTCTCAGAAACATTGCTGGTTTGGTTCCAGACCACTGCAATAAAGAGACTATCACAGTAAAGTGAGTCACACAAATTTTTTCGTTCCCCAGTGCATATAAAAATGTTTACACTATATTGTAGCCTATTACGTATATAATAAATAGCATTATAAAAAATTTTAAATATTGTGAGAATTGCCAAAATGTGACAGAGATACAAAATGAACACAAACTGTTGGAAAAATGGCATTGTTAGATTTTGCAAAAAACAAAGTAACTGCGAAAAGCAGTAAAGTGAGGTATGTCTGTACTAGGACAGGGGTGGGTGGTCAGAGCACAAGGCAGGAGGGTTAGTGGAGGCTGGAGGCAGATTCAAGGGCGACTTATAAATAGATTTGACTATTAAACTAAGTCAGGGAATGAGAATGATTAAGTAATTTAAATTACAAATGAATTAAGAGTAAATTAAAATGAATAAAAGTAGCAGAATTAGGTAAACTTAGCCAACTAAAGAGATCTGCATGAGAATTTTTTTAATGACTGCATGAAAACAGCATGTAACAAAAGAACAGATCTGGTTCCCTGTTGGTGCTTAATGGAGACATAAATGAGTCAGATGGGTAGAGGGAATGATGAGTGAGTAGGTAAGGTGGAGGGAGATACCTTCTGAGCTTTAGCAAACTCCTTATCGAGGTAGGCAACCTTCTGTCGAAGACTGGTGAGCTCTGGTATGGGGAAAACAAGGAATACCAGCCTCAGTCTGTGACAAAGAGCTGAAAGGTCTTCCTGCCAGGCCTCTGAAGGGAAAAAAACCTTGCCCCCATGCCGTCAGAGCTACTCTCATCTAATGAGACCCTCTTGGCTCACCAACACCATTCTTGCGTAGTTCATCTGAAAGCTGATAGTTGTTTGTCCGGAGTTCCAGGAGCTGAGCCTTTGGGAGAAGCAGGGAAAGGAAAAGATTTGCCCTTACCTCTAACATAAGGAAACTAAGCCCCCAAGTCCAAAGAACCCTGTCACCCTCCACATGTCTGTCAAGTCACTCCTTAAGCATGTTGCATCCTATTATGAGCTTCCAGTGCCTCCACACTTGTCCCACCTTCTCCACCTTCATTTATAATGCCAGCTATGTTCACTCCTCCGTCTCCCTGAAGCCTCTATCTCCCCCCCTCCAATTCCCTCTATATTCAGGACATCACAAGGTGCTTTCTAATTCCATGTTGATCCAGTCAGGGTTTTGCTCATGTGTATTCTGTGGCTCACCATGCCCATAAGATTTCTCTTCCTCTTCTTGGCTGATCTCCTCATGTAACAAACACTGTTCTATCTTTTTAGCAGGAGTGTTGTGCATTCTCCTTACAAGGCCTGGAGTTCCTGAGGGTGGGGACAGGTCCTTACCTTCTTCTCTTTCCCAAAGTAGCCTGGTATTTCCCTACTCAACTTTTACTGAGCCAGGGAGCTGCCCTCCCCTCAACCCAAGCCTTGTAAAACATGCACAGGAAAGTGAAGCACAGGTCACTCAAAAGAGCCCACTCTTTCTACCAGCCCTGAAGGGTTCTGATGTCAGTTCTTCTCAAACCTATTGTTTCTTACTCCACCAGGACCTTCCTCTCCCTCTCACAGCACCAGCACTCCTGATGGTTGGCTCAAGGTCTAGAGACTCATTCTTACCCCTGTGCTCTCCAGGGCCCAGTGATCTCTCTCCCCCAGTTTTGGTCCACTTGGAACAGCCACTGCACAACATCTCCCCAGCAGAGTCCATTGGTTTCCCTTGGTTAATTAACCTTCCTCACTCAAGGGTCTGCAGTGCCCCTCAATATATCCCTAGTTATGATCCAATGGGATGGAATTACTCCTTTGAGTAGGCCAACTGGATTACCCTTACCCACTTAGAATCCCCACCCCACAAAAGTTACCATTCACAGCCCAAATGGTCTCATCTTCCTACAACCAGAATCCTTAACTGGAGTCCTTCATTCAAGGACCAACAGGATTATCCTTTCTTACTATGAGTTCCTCCCTTCCCCTACAGGGTTTCTCCCTCTCAGGGTCCAGGGGTGTGATGCTTTCCCCTGAATCCCCCACACAGTCAATCATAACAAGTGCATGTTATCACCCACATGTTATCAAGGTGCAATGTTATCACCCTTCATCCCTCTCGGAGCCCTTTCCCCCCTCACTCCCAAAGTCACATGATCTCTCCCAAATGAGGTTCAAAGTCATCTCTCTTTCATCCCCTCTGGTTTCCCTCCCCTCCCACCAGGGCTAGTAGTATTACCCATTCAGAGTCTTCTTCACCCCAGGCCTAATGAGATCACCCCTAATTCCTAATGGTATAGCTCCCTCTTAAGATCCACAATCACACAGGATCTCCACCTCCCAAGAACAATGACAACATCTAGGGTCTTTCCCCACGCCCCTGGCATAATAGAATCTCCCACAAAAATTTCCACCTCCCACCGGCTAATGGTACTGCCCTCTCAAGGGCTCCCCCATCGTGACGCGAAAGGTTCACCACCCTCTCCTTCCTCTCCAAACAAAATGGTTTCACCTTCTCAGAATCTTCTTCAAAGCTCAATGCCGAGAAGTCTCGTCCCCTCTAGGTCTGAGTAAGGTATCTCCCACTAAGGACTGTCTCCCGCCCACAAAGCTAACGAAATCTAACCCCCCAAAGCCCAATAGAACCTCGGAACCCAGTAGTCTCACCACTCAGTCTCCGTTCCCTTTTTCAAACAAACCTCTAAACTCAGGGCCCATCCCAAGCAACCCCCTCGCAGGGCCGGTAGCACGACCCCTCTCTACCCCGCCCTCCAATTGCCTAGCCCGGCGGTCTTTCCCCTAGCGAGCAGCACCTGCATCCGCTGAAACTCCTCTTCAGAGAGAGCTTGCGCCATGTTCCTCCCCCCCACCCCCCCCTTAAGAGCTTTCTGCGCAGATGCAGCTCGTGCCTTCTGTAAGACTTCGGATCGGAACACACCACTGGCCAGTTATGGAGGAGGAGGAGCCTAATCTGAAAGGTCAGCATTTTGCAGATGAAGAGAATAGAACAAAATTAACTGGTCAGATGAATTTTTTATTTCGTATTTTACTAGAATATAGGTCATTTGTTCCGGCTTTTGAGCTCACATAGACTACCCATTATGGTGCGACATTATGATATCCCTGTCTAATGGGTGAGCTCGTAGCGAGGGAAGTGTACTCCGACAGAAAATCACCCTTCTGAGGTACTCCTTTAATGAGAATGGTTGACTAACTAGAACTGAAAGCGGAAGCTTCGCAAATGGTCTCGTTCTGCCCTCCTCCCCACGACCACAAAGGTGAACCCCGCCCCTTCTGAAGCCCTTGGCTTCCCACCTCCCCACCTTTCTAAGCTTTAACTCTGACTTTGTGGGAAATCTGGTAGCGTAGTGGTTACGAGTCGGGCTGCCAACCTCAAGATCAGCAGTTCGAAACTACCAGCGGTTCCGCTGTGCAGGATCACTGAGTCGAAACCGACCCCACCCCACGGTACATATAGTTAAGTTAGTTCTGTGGGATAAGGAATCCTTATGTGGCGCTGTGGTTAATTCGCCAGACTGCAAAGCCATTTGAACTTCAAGGTCGGCTGTTCAAGCTCACCAGCTGCTCTAGGGTAGCTACCGACTCGAAGGTACTTAACTGTGGGATAAAACACTGGACTGCAACGTCGGTTTGAACCACAAGGTTACCAGCCGCTCCTTGGAACCACAAACTTACCAGCCGCTCCTTGGAACCAACTTATAACTCATAACCTAGCCACCAAAAATTTTAAATTGCAGAGGGGGTAGTTTCATTTAAAAAGAAAAGTTTCATTTAAAAAATCAAAATGGTGAAACGCCAGGAACTTCAAATAAGTGCTGAAATACTTTATAACTTTTATACTGTCCTTCCCTCTCTGTAAATCCCACCACCCAAGCAGTAAACTTTTATTTGAGAAAGAAAAATACATAATATATTTGTTGACAACATTTCAGTACTAGGGTAATCCCTATTTTCTTTATCTTTCTGTGTGTGTGTGTGTGTGTGTGTGTGTGTGTGTGATAGAGAGAGAGAGAGAGTTTAATACCGACATTTCAAACATATAGAAAAGTTGCCAGAATGGCCCAGTTTAATCAATTATTTACATTTTGCCACCTTTGCTGTATCATTCTACTGGCTTCATTATCCACTGATTATTTGCTAACACCAACATTCTTTTGATGTTCATTAGTTGCTAAAGGAGCTCTGGAAGGAGCTCTGGTAGCGTAGTGGTTACGAATCGGGCTGCGAGCCGCAAGGTCAGCAGTTCGAAACTACCAGCTGTTTCGCGGGAGACAGATGAGGCTTTCTGCTCCCGTAAAGATTTACAGCCTCGGTAACCCTGTACAGGGTCGCTATGAGAACTGACTCCACAACACACAGCCACCACCACCACCAAGTAGCATAGTGGGTTACGAAACTTTGAGTTGAATCAATTCAGTGGACCACCACTAGAGGGTTTATGGTTTATTCTACTGTAAGGGAGAACTTTCTCTTCTCCCCCATTTATTTATTTATTTTGTGGCGCTGTGGGTTAGTGCGCTAGACTGCAAAGTCGGTGGTTCAAGCTCATCAGCCACTCTTTGGAAACCCTCTACAGGGTTGCTATGGGTCGGAACCAACTCAACGAGGCACTTAACAACAACATAGAAGACTAGTGTTCTTATTTAATTGTAATCAATTATTATCATTATGTCCTTTGACATTAAATTGTCCCAGATTTAGAAGCACCTTCAAGTTGATTTTTGTGTCCTTTTGAAATGCTACCATCAAAAAAAATTGTTGTTGTTTTTTTTTATAGCACTTCCTTGGTTTCTGGCACTACAAGATGCTCAGGGTTCATCTTAATCTTCTCTAACCCCAGTCTTGTAATCTGCCCATTTCTCCTTATGTTGTTGTTGTTGTTAAGTGCTATCTAGTAGGTTCCGAATTATAGCAACCCTTTATAGTGTTTCCGAGGAGCAGCTGATGGATTTGAACTGCCGACCTTGCAGTTCAAACCATCTTTACAACCCAGTGCTCATCCTACAGCAGCACACCAGGACTCCATTTCTCCTTTTAGTGAAGAAATACTGCTGTTGTTGTTGTTAGGTGCCATCGAGTCAGTACCGACTCATAGCGACCTTATGCACAGCAGAACGAAACATGCCCGATCCTGGGCCAACCTCACTACTGTTGCCACGCTTGAGTCCATCGATGCTGCCAGTTGGCCAATCCACCTTGTTGGGGGTCTTCCTCTTTTTCTCTGACCCTCCACCTTACCTACTTGTTGTTAAATGCCTTTGAGATGGTTTTGGCTCATTTGTTGTTGTTGTTAGGTGCCATCAAGTTGGCTCTGACTCATAGTGACTCTATGCACAAGAGAACGAAACACTGCCTTGGCCTGCACCATCCTTTTGTTGTTATGCATGAGCCCATTGCTGCTGCCACCATGCCAATCCATCTCATGGGGGGGGTCTTCCTCTTTTTCACTGTCCCTCTATTTTACCAAGCATGATGTCCTTCTCCAGGGACTGGTTCCTCCTGATAACATTTCCAAACTATGAGAAACCAAATCTTGCCAACCTGTCTTCTAAGAGCATTCTGACTGTACTTCTTCCAACACAAATTTGTTTGTTCTTCTGGAAGTCCATGGTACTTTTAATATTCCTCTCCAACGCCATAATTCAACGACATTGATTCTTCTGTGGTCTTCCTAATTCATTGTCCAAATTTCACATGCTGGTGGGTTTCAACCACCAACCTTGCAGTTAACACTATATATTTTAAAACTTGAGTTCACATTAATAAATCCCATTACTCCGACTCCTGGTGTGGTGCAATAGGATAAGCACTGGACTGTGAACCACAAGATTGGTGATTCAAACCCACCAGTTACTTCTTGGAAACCCTATGTAGGGTCACTATGAATCAGAACCAACTCTTAATACTCAATAACAATATTCCAACTTAACAGCACAAGGTTCATTTTAGTTTTCTGTCTTTCCATATTTGTAAATCACTTTTCCAAAAGAGATAAACCTAGTTCTCATTATCCACAATAATTTTATTTATTCATGTAATCCTAGACTACACATTAACTAGCTTCGGAAGTGCTAGCCCATAATGTTGTTGTTGTTGTTGTTAAGTGCCATTGAGTCGGTTCCGACCCATAGCGACCCTGTATAGGGTTTCCGAGGGTGTAAATCTTTACGGGAGTAGAAAGCCTATAAGACTGTGAAAAACAAGCCTACCATCAGTGTTCTTTTACAGTTCATTTTGTCTTTAGCTGCATGGTGGTCTGTAATCAAAATACCATGTTTAACAAGTATGTTACAACTTCACTATCTGATTCAATTCCTTTTGTCTTTAATCTGATTGTATTCAAAATCTGTGTTAAAGAATTACTTGGGTTAGTTTTTTATTCCTTTTAAGGAGGCTGGGTGATTCATTTGAAACATAATGAAATACATTTGCTTCTATTTCTATTCTATTTTGTTGCCTTTCCCAGTTCTTATTTTCTGGTGTATCCTTTCTGTGTTTCATTTTGTACAAATGAATATATACATTCTATTATTTCCCCCCCAGGAAAGGTAGCATACTGTAACTACTCTTTTGCATTTTACGTTTTTTCATTTGATACTATCTCCTGGAATGTGCTCCATCTACATCAATTAGTAAAGATCTCTCTCATTTTCTCTTTATCATTGCAGAGCACTCCATCTTGTGGATGCACTATAGTTTTATTTAACCACTCACCTCTTTGAACATTTAGTTGTTTCCAACGTTTCACAATTACAAATAGTACTGAAAATACTTAGGTATTTATTTATTATTATACTACTTGAGGTGTATCTTCATGGTAATTTCAAAGAATTTTAAATGCTGCCTCAAAAGTAAGTGTGTGTGTAGTTTTGTTAGATAGTTCCAAATTTTCTCCCAAAAGTTCATTCCTACCAGTAGTGCTTGTGAATGCCTGTTTCCCCACAGCTTGCAACAGAATGTGCTATCATATTTTTAAATTTTTCACTGATCTGAGAGGTTTAAAAAAAGATTTATCACACTATACTTTCTTTCCTTATTTTAAAAGTAGTAAACGATTTGCTGACTCTGCAGTAAATGTTCCCAGTGAAGGCTCTACATTTTCTTTTGTAATTGAATCAACTTAATTGATAGGTTGTTGTGTTAGTTGCTGTGGAGTATCTGCTGACTATGGTAACCCCTTGTGTGTCAGAGTAGAAGTGAGCTCCATAGGGTATTCAAAGCTGTGACTTTTCAGAAACAGATCAACAGGTTTGTCTTCCTGAGGTACTACTATTATTGTTGTTAAGTGTCATTGAGTGGATTCTGACTCAATTGTTGCTATTGTTAGATGCCATCAACTTTGTAGCAACCCTGCATAACATTTCCCAGGAGCAGCTGGTAGATTTGAACCTTATCTTACAGAGCCACACCAGGACTCCGGGATTCAAATTGGGTTCAAATTGCCAACCTTTCAGTTAGTAGTCTATTGCTTAACCATTTGTGATATACTTTGTAATAAAATGCACTAATTTTAATGGTATAGTTCAGTAAGTATTGACAGATGTGTACAATCTTCTTGTTGTTAAGTGCCGTCGAGTTGGTTCCAACTCATAGTGACCCTGTATTGGGTTTCCAAGGAGTGACTGGTGAGCTTGAACCACTGACCTCTCACTTCAAACCGACCTTGTAGTCCAGCGCATTAACCCACAGCGCCAATCAAGATATAGAACATTTTCATCACCCTAAAAGGTTCCCTTGTGCCCCATCCCCCAAAAATCCCTCTACCCCAGGCAAACTACGGATTTACTTTCTGTTACTGTTATTAAATTTATCTTTTGTGGAGTTTCATGTAAATGGAATCAGTATGTACTCTTGTGTCTGAAGTC